TGCTAATGGAATATTCAAGTAGTCTGTAGTAATTTATCAAATAGTCCCAAGTCCCATTTTCTCAGTGTGAGTCTTTTTGTTCACAGGTAAATTGATGTGTGGGGGGTTATCAAGTCTTTTTTGTAATTCAAATTATCCATTCCACCTCCCTTCACACACACAAAAATGCTATCTTAGAAGAGTTTTTAGAAATGTTTAGAATTAAAATTGTACAGACACCGTGCAAGTAGTAATTTCTGCATTTCAAATTTATTTTATGATGTTTTTGCATTTTGATGCCTAATTTTGAAAATGCTCCTAAATTGAAGGTGGGGGGAGGCAAAGATGTAATTCAACTTCTTTCACAGTGTAGTCAATTCTTTTGTCAGTTCAAACTACTAGTAGGAGAGCACTATACTAAATTAGAGATTCAGGAACAGGAAATCATCACAAGCTCTCCTATTTTCCTTCACTTAAAAAAAATCAGAATTTAAACCGGGTAAAGTTCTTATTGACCACTTTTTGGAACAGAACACTTTTAAAGTTATAATGGGGTGTGCATATACCAGTGAGTTTATTAGAGCCCTTGAGCAGAAAACTATGCAAATTGACTCAGGTTGGGAGAAGGGCTTTTGAACTACAGAAAGAAAATGAAACAAAAGCAAACTACCTGTAAGTTTTTTTTTTTTTTTTGAGACGGAGTTTCGCTCTGTCACCCAGGCTGTAGTGCAGTGATTCAATCCCTGCTCACTGCAAGCTCCGCCTCACGGGTTCAAGCAGTTCTCATGCCTCAGCCTCCCGAGTAGCTAGGATTACAGGCACCTGCCATCACACCCAGCTAATTTTTGTACTTTTAATAGAGATGGGGTTTCATCATGCTGGTCAGGCTGGTCTGGAACTCCTGACCTCAAGTGATCCACCCGCCTCGGCCTCCCAAAGTGCTGGGATTACAGGTATGAGCCACCACACCTGGCCTACCTGTAAAATTAACAAAGGACAGACTGGAGAGTTCTAGTCCCTGGTAGAATTGTGAACTGACTTGTGCTAGATTCAGCTTCCTCAACTTAACCTTAAAGTTTACTTTATAATATTGTCATTACAGGAAAACATCTTTGAGAAACTAACCAAAGCAACCAACAGAAGACCTTGAGAAGATCGAAAATTGTAATTGCTGGGTGTGGAAAGTATAGGAATTCGCATTTTCCTATGGAAGTACTCCACAGATGGCCTTGATAAGATAAAGCAGAGAAGAGCCTTTTCAATTTTGCACTTGCCTTTCCCCTACATAGTCTTTGGACAATTACTCCTTCCCATTTACCCAAAAATCTGTTACAGCAGCTTAGATCGCTTGTGTGGTGTCTCTGAAGTAATATTTAGGTAGCAGAAAGGCCCTCTTTGGGTGACAAATTTTTAAAAATAAGAGAAGACTGACCAGCTGCCCTTGGGCATTGACCCTTCCTCCTCCTTTCCCTCCAAATACCCATTCACTGATTAATAATAATCTCAGGAAACTGCCCTCCCCCACCACCACCCCTACTGCTGTATTACCATTAAACATGAGACATGAATTACTGACCAGATGAACCTCTTGGAGGACTGACTGTTACAGCCTGGAATCCACACAGGTTCTGCAGTGCCTGGGACTCTGACTCTCTGCCTAGGGGCTTATCCTTGTCTCTATTTTTAACCTCGCCGAAATTCATATAAATTGCAGCCTGGCTTTTGGACCTTACCCAAAACACATTTTCAGAAATGCAGACATCTTTTCTATTCAGAGATCCTGCTGAAACAGAGTAGCTGATAGACCAGGGGAGCATGAACTCACTCACCAAAATAACTAGATGCAAAGGCTATAATTACCAAAAGAAAAAGCACCAACTGGACAACTATCTTAAGTGTAAATACTAGAACTGACAGATTAAGAATTATAAGTAGAATAATAAATATAGTTATGAAGATATTAGCAAGTTTAACCATATAAAAGAAAAACAATGAATTATTAAGTTCCACATGGGAATATTATACATAAAAATTTACGTATATTTCACATAATTAAAGATTAAAGATCTTGGATTTAGAAAGATCATCGAATGTCAAATATTATTGATAATAAAAAATTCACACTTAGACTATAAGTAAACTTAAATTATCAAAAACAGAAATATTTGAATACTGCTAAATAGAAAGCAAAGAAAATAACAAATACCCCAGTTGAATATAATTTTAGAAGAAATCAAATTAGAAAAGTACAATGCCAGAAAATGATGGAAGAGATATAAGTGAAATGATCAACTATGTGGCAACATATTTGATCATAGTTTGGCAAAGACTGAGAATGAGGTGGGTGGAGGGAAAGAGAAGGAAAGGGGAAAAAATTTAGAGCAAATGGAGAAGTATATTTACAATAGCCAGAACTAAAATTCAACATGATTCAATTTGATAAGGTAGGGAACATGAGGAATGAGAGTGAATTAAGTTATTTGTCTCATCAAGAAAAATGTCCTCTTGGGAAAATTATATTACTTATGTTGTTAGCAGGAACATATATAAAATTCTTAAATGCATACACATATATGTGTGTATGTGTATGTTTACATATATAAGTTTAAGAATTGATTACAAGAAAATAATCATGATTATGGGTCTTTGGAGAAAGACACCTGCCATAATGAGAAAAAATGCCATCAATAAATTTTTAGCAGCGAACGAATCACTCTCAAATAGAAAGCACAGGTAGAGAAAAAGGAAAAACAAAATGTGAAATTTACATGAAAAATACTTACCAATATAACCGTTGTTAACTACAAAAGTTGATTAAACATATGAGTTAAAAGGTGGAGACTCTAATGATGCATTTTTTAAATTCAACAGTAAGTTGTCTAAAGAAAAAAACGTAAGATATATTAGGCAAATATAAACCAAAAGAGAAGTGACATAGTAATCTTATGATATGAAAAATATAATTTAATGCCAGGAAGAATCTTATCTGCCAGTAAAAGAAACATTAGGACAAAAAGGTATATTTATCATAATTCATGTCTCACATAGATATTGTCTATGGCTGCTTTCTATGCCACTACACTGGCAGAGTTGAGTACTTACTAAAGTACTTACTATCTTGCATTTTACAGAAAAAGTTTAGCAACTCCTAACATATACAACTGAGTCTTAGGAGGAAAGAAAGAGGAAATGAAATGAGCAAAACTAATATTTGAAGAGAGTCAGAATAACACAAATGATAATAGGCAGGGATATTAAAACAGTTAGGTTGGTGCAAAAGTAATTGTGGTTTTTTTTGCCATTGAAAGTAATGGTGGCTGGGCAGGGTGGCCCATGCTTGTAATCCCAGCATTTTGGTAGGCCGAGGCAGGCGGATCACGAGGTCAGGAGTCAAGACCAGCCTGGCCCACATGGTGAAACTCTGTCTCTACTAAAAATACAAAAATCAGCTGGGTATGGTGGCAGGTGCCTGTAATCCCCACTACTCAGGAGACTGAGACAGGAGATTTGCTTGAACCTGGGAGGCAGAGGTGATAGTGAGCTGAGATCGTGCCATTGCACTCCAGCCTGGGTGACAGAGCTAGACGCCATCTCAAAAAAAAAAAAAAAAAAAAAAAAAAAAAAAAAAAGAAAAGAAAAAAGAGAAAAAGAAAGTCATGCCAAAAACTGAAATTACTTTTGCACCAACCTTAATATCCTATCTGTATTCTATATATTCAAATATCCAGAGGAAAACTAAAACTTGTTAAGTAGAAACACAAGATATAAAAAGACCTACATTGAGCTTGTACCAATAAAACCTATAATATCTGAGATTAAAAAATTCACTGAGTGGGATTCATGGCTGATTAAACATTGTGGAAGAAGATGTATCAATGGAAACCATCTGAAATTTAAAAATATAAAAGATAAAGCCTTTTAAAAATTGAACAGAGCATCAGTGAGCTCTGGAACAAAAAAACATATATTAAATATATATATATATAATTATATATATGTATATGATTGGAGTTCCTGAAACACAAGAAATCAGGATATACACAGAATATTTGAAGAAATAATGGGCACTATTTTTTCAAATTTGCTGAAAATCACAGATCTCCTGATTCAAGAAACTCAACAAACCTCAAGAGCAAGTGCCAGGAAAAAGAAAACACACAAAACTTTAGCAAGTCACATCTCATTCAAATTACTTAAAGTTGACGATAAAGAAAAAAACATTATAACATCAGCCAGGGGCAGTAGGCAGGGGTGTGGAGATACACATATATATTTTTAAAAATTTAAGTATTTTAGCAGAATTCAAATAATGCAAACTACACTAAAAAAAAAAAAAAAGCAAGTAACAAGCTGAAATTATTTACCTATTGAAAATATCTTTAGAAAACAAAGATTAAATGAAGGCTTTTCAAACATAAATATCTGAAACCAATGAAGAACTTTAGGAATGATACCTATGTAGCACATATAAAGCTTTCTTTAAAAATTATTTAAATATTCTTCAAAGATAATCTACTGTAAAAAATGAGTAACAATGTATATTATGAGTTATAACAGATATCAAAGCAAAATATTTGATTACATTGCATAAAGGCTGGGAGGGAAGAAACGGAAATATAATTTTTAAGTGTCTTATAGTACACATTAATTTATATACCATCACTTGAAGATTGATAAGTTAAAGATGTGTACTTTAAACACTAAAGTAGACACTAAAATAACACAATGATCAGTTATTACTAATTGTCCAACAAAAGAAATAGTATGGAATCATAAAAAATAATCCAAAAGAAGGCAGAAAAGGTAAAAAAGGAACAAAAAAAGAGACTAAGGAAAAATAAATGGCAAAATAATAGATTTATACCCAACCATGCCAATAATCACACCAAATATAAATAGACTAAATCCCAATTAAAAGGCAAAGATCATATGATTATATTTTTTTAAAGCAAGATACACTCCCTAGAAGAAACCCATTATATAAATATAGAGAAATAGATAAGTTAGAAGCAAAAGGATGGGAAAGGATGTGCCATGCTAACACTAATCAAAGGGTGGCTCTATTAATATCACATAAATATTTGGTAAATAAATGTTTAGGGTCATTATGTCTTTTTGATGAATTGATCCCTTTATCATTTTAAGATGACCCTTTTTATTCCTGGACTTTGTATATTATTTTTCTACTTTGTGCAATATTATTGAACTTTTGTGTAACATCAATGCATAATACTTACACTAGAATTATTCCCTACAAAGAGAAGAGATGAAGGAGGCTGTAAAAATCAAAGGAAATAAATTTAAAAATTCAAAATTATCATGAAACTAAGCAATGTAAACAAAAAATTGCAGGCATTACAATGTTTATATAATTTGTAATATTTCACTATGACAAATGAGAGACGTAAAAATTATGACCTTGCTGACATGTTCAACTTTCAGTGCAAATAATTCCTAGTTGTAGAATAATTTAAAAAATCAGTTTAATATAGGTTATATTGGAAACAACTTGATTGTGGCATAATAATTTATTTATTAAAGGAGAGTAATGTATTAATTTCAGATTTATTAACTTGGAGGATTTATATCTCTAATGCTATGCCTCTGTACACAAGGAAAGCAATAAGCCACAGAATAATGACATGCATATTGTAAATTGGGGATCAGCAAACTTTCTATGTGAAGGACCAGAAAGTAAATATTTTCAGTACCACGGGCAATATGCTCTCTGTCACGAACACACAACTCTACCATAGATAATACATCATTTATTGATGTATTGTCCAATAAAACTTTATTTACAAAACAGGAAATAGGCAGTATTTGGCTCACAACTCTAGTTTTCAGGCTTTTCTTATGGAGCATTAACTTTACTCCTAAATTAGGCAGAGTAAACAACTGCCACTATATCATTTCTGCTTTTCTAATATAACTTCATCCCAAATTTTACTTTTAAAATGTTTTTTGACTTTTGATATGTGTCCTTCATATGTAATTTGATATTATGGACCTATTTGAGACTCTGCATTTTAACATTGCTTATGTTTTCTGGTTTTCCATTTTCTATGTCTTTTGCATTATCACTGTCTTTCCCATTAAGGATAATGTCTCCTTTTACGAGAAATTTGGAAGCTGATTTGGATATTACACATTCTGAGCTAATTTGACTGTTGGTCAATTTTAAAATCAAAATGCTTTAAATTTCTCCAATTTAAAAATGTTTATAAATTTATTTTCCATATAAATTCATATTTCTTTGTTTTCCTTAATGTATACATGTTTAACATATATAATTTACAAGCATTATTTTGACTTCTTTCCATAATTTATAATTTTTGTCATTATTACCCATGTTTTTCACCAGCAGCTTTATCTTATTGCTTTTTCATTTTGAATTATTTATTGTGTTTGATTGATTTGTCAGCTATAGTATACATTGTGGTTTTTATTTTTAACGAAGGATGGATATATAAAATGTATACTCAGTTTTAAACATATGGAAATATATTTTTCTTTTACATAGGAACAGAAACTTGACTAGAAACGGAGCTCTTATATTTAGGTTATAACCTTGTTCTTTATAAACTATGGACAAGGTATTGCTTACAGACCATATTGTGTGTTGATCTGTTTTGCTTGGCCTGCAGAGCACTAACTGAAAATGTGAATTGGTTGATGACTTTAAACAAATCTGAAGATTTCACATAAAAATCCCTACTTGTAGGCTTTGCTCACAAGGTAGAGCAGTTGGCAGCACTGGAGCATTCTCACATAGCAATTCAGAATTAGAATTGAGTCGCAACTTCTGCCCTTAAGTTGGACCTGCAATCTCCAATTTGCCATAGTACTTACCTGCCCTACCTCATTATTTTGCATTGCCTATCTGACTTGTGACGGCAATTGAGATTGTGAGATCTGACGTTGTTCAATGAGGTTCTAGAATTTTGTAAATTCAAAAAAATGTGGAACAATTCTGGCTTTTGTTGTTTGGTTTGGTGTTGTGACTTTTAAAAATTATTGTTAATGCTTTGCCTGGATGGAATTAAAGAACTTTCTTTAAAAGTTGAAACTAAAAATACATGAAAAAGTAAACAAAATTTTACGAACCTCTGTCTGTTTTTTTCTATTTATTGGACTGGTTTTTCTTTTCATTTATTTATTTGGTTTTTCTTCTGAAAAACTGAAGTATTTAGTATAGAAACTTTGGCTTCTATTATAATTTGTTTATGACTTTAAATTCCTTATTAAGCCACCAGTTAAGATATGTTGAAGATTTTTCTCTGCCCTCCATATCTATCATCTTTTCTCAAATTGTTTTCATTTTCTTACTTATTTCTTCTGTGTTCTATGAGAATCACTCAAGTTTTTATTCATTATTAATAGTTCAATCTTTGTAAAGTTGATATAGGTCTTTATTATTTATAATATTGATTTTAATTATGTGATTACATTTTGGGTTTTGAATAACTTAACAATAATTAATATTTATTGAGCACTTAACTATATGCCAAACACCATTCACTTTGAATGCATTATCTCAATGAATATTTACCAGAAATCCTATGAAGAATGTGCTATTATTACGCTTTCTAAAGTGAAGATAATAAGGCTTTCAGAGACTAAGGAACTTTTCCAAAATAAAAGAGTTGGAAAATAGTGGAACTGTAATATGTAATAAGACAATTTTTAATGCAAATCCTGTGCTCATATCCACTAAGTTACACAGAGACCTTTCTTTTCCTCTGACATATTTAGCTTGCCTCTCATTCAAGTTACTTTTGTTTTTTACATTAGTTATTATCTTTCTTTCTAATTTAATAATTGCAAAATGTATATAATATGAAATTTACCATCTTAACTCTTTTAAGTGACAGTTCAGTAGTGTTAAATACAAACTGCTGTGTAACCAATCCCCAAAACTCTTCTCATTTTGCAAACTTGAAACTCTGTACTCATTAAACAATTCTCTCTTCCTTCCTTTTCTCGGCCTCTAGAAATTATCATGCTACTTTCTGTCCTTCCAATTCAAATGTCAGTGTGTAATTGTAATAAATTTACCATTATTGGCTTATTGTGTAGAAGCCTTGTTTCCTTACATTTTTTACAGCAAGAAACAAATACAGTAATTTATAAGCTTTTAAAATTACAAATGATTTCAAAAAATATCCTTCTGCTCCTTCTCTAGTTCTAGTGTCTATGTTTTGTGTTATACAATCACTTCATACAGTACTTACTTGTTTTGAAAAGAGATTGCCTCATCCTTGAAACAAATGGATTATTCTGTTTTAGTATTACTCAGTTTTATCTGAATCTAGTTAGAATCATCCTTTCAAATCTTAAGATATAGGAGGTATCACTGTTCACACCAGTCAACTTTCTGGTACCGTGTTGTCTTTAATTTAGTATCTGTTGGTCTGAGAAACAATCTCATGGTGTTATGACTAGATTACCTTGTCTAGACACAAGGGAAGAATCTTATTCTGTCTAGTCTGAAGTTCTCTGTATTTCTTGCATTGCAGAAAACTCCCAAATAGTGAAGAAAATCTAAAATATTACTCACATTCATTTTGACCTCATTAGCATTTCATTCCTGAGGAATATTGGGGTGGAGAGATGCATTAGAGCTTGAAGCAGGGCCAAGGGGTGGAACAGTGTATTTGGATTAAATAGAGTGGAGCTTTTACAAAGCAGAAAGGTGGGTTTGTGCCTCTATGAGTCTGTATAGATGGAAATCCCCTACCTCATTAACCCATGTGCCTTTCTCACTCTGCCTCCAGGCTAAGTTTTCCTTAGTTGACTCTCCAACTTTTGCATGACACATTTTTGACCCACATTTCTAGTTTCCACTGTTGAAACTGCATCTCTTTCCCTATTTTCGTGAGCATTATAATGGAAAAATTGCAGAGGCTGAGTCAGACACTGCTGATCACCAACAATGTAGCCAGAATATCCTCTTTCATATTTAAAGAAGAGGATGCTGGTAATAGCTTTCCCCCTCAACCCCACATGCTCCAGTCTGACCTAAAACCCAGTGTAGGCTACCAGTCCTTTTTAAACTGCACACATAGACAAAGTATCTTTTGCTGATAACTGCAGCTGGTCTTCGGAGAGCCAGTTCCTGTTTCCTACTACCATTGTCTTTACCATTGTCTTTTCTTAGAAGTATCTTGGCAGGAGAAAGTATACGTAAATTGTGCAAATTGCCTACATTATATTGAGATGCTATTTGCAAGGATTTCTTTCTCAAATATATTCATTTTTTAACATCTTTAAATCAAATTTAATTCTGATATGGTAACTTTAAATTATGGAATTATTTTTTATGATCAGGGTTGAATGATTTTCAACTTTTCAAATTCTGTTTCATGTCCATAATACATGTTAGTATAATGAATGGCCTTTGTGGAAGTGACAATAGCTAAATTATAAAATCTGTCAAAAATCCATTTTACCATGGTCTATTTTTTTACTATTTGATACAGGGAGGAAAGAACAAGAAGACATAGGGAAGCATCGAGTGTGAAATTTAGGCAGAAGTCATGGGCTAAAGCTTGAAATTAAAATCTCAACTACAGCTTAACTGAAGAAAACAAAAACAATCTGCACCTAGAATGGGAGTGTGGGGAGTGTGTGTGTGTGTGTGTGTGTGTGTGTGTTCACTATGGCACATGGACATTCTATGAATTAACTCATTGGCTATGACTGCTGTATTTCTTATGGAAAGAATGGATGACTTGTTAGCATGATCTCATCCATCCTCCGGGAGCTGGAGGTTGTTTATGTGTAGAGGGAATTAACAATAATAATTCTGAAGAGAGGAAGTGTTTTGGAATGTCTAGAGTCAGCTGCCTAGATTCTATTTTTGGACCCATCAATTTTTTGTTAGGAGGCTTTAGACAGGTCATATTTTCTTAGGACCACTGTTTCTGTATCTGTTTGACTGGCATATGAATAGTTTCCATTTTATTACTTCATGGATATTTTGTGAGTTTTAATAACTTTAGGTAACATAACCTGCAAAATGGCTTTGAAGTCTTTGGAGAACCTCCAGAACAAAGGAGGAAGTGTTACTTCTCTGGAGAGAATGTAATATTTTTTCATAGCAAGTGTTGTGTGGTCTTTTTTTTAAGTGAAAATTCTCAAGATTGCCAAGTATATTCTATAAACTTTCTCTTCAGAATTGCCACTTTGCAGCTTTTCACCAGGACATTACCTCAGGATTAGATATGTTGTTTGACACATTTTCTTATTATTTTTCAAAAGAGAAAAATCACAGCAAATTTAGGAGTCACTAGGTGACAGAAATTTCAGAACTGTTTTTGGAGCAACAGTTGTTCTTCATATTAAAGATGCATTTGTTGAGAATGATGGTGCACATGTACCCTAGAACATAAAGTATAATAAAAATTTTAAAAAATGCATTTGTGAGGACAAGTCCATTCCTCCTGGAGGGATGCCCTGGGCAGGTAAGTGTGTAGAAGCAGATCATAACATTGTTTATCTGATTGGGACCAGAGAGACAGCACATTGGTGTTTGAGATTCAGCTCTAGAGAAAATAACTAAACAAACGGGTTTGCAAGAATCTCGAGACCAAGTAAGTACATTCATCTCTGCCAATTAATAAGGAAAACTTAAATCTTCAGCACACTTCACAGTCTAAAACAGCACATTCACGTATGTAGTTTCACAAAAACTGTGCAGAACAACATATTGTTTCAAGATGAGAAAACTGAAAATTGGAGTTATTAATACTAATAGATTTGTCCAAGGTTGCACAGCTAGAGAACTAGTACTCTAAGCCCAATATTTTGATTTTTTACCTGGTGATTGATGCTGTACTCTTGATTGTATACAAAGGAGGGAAAGGGGAACTCTTACACATTTCATCCTTCCTAACTGCTTTCCTGCAAACTTTGATTCTCTACTTATTGCCAGTTGAGAGTCACTGACATAGTGAGCCATCATTACTGAGGAATGGGTTTCCTTGAGATGTGTGAGGGCAGAAAACAGCTTGGCAATCACAGAATATAACTTTTTGGGGGGTGTTTTTCTTTGCTTTTTATGTAAATGATGACACTGTGTCATGAACATGAAATACATTTCTTCATTTTCTCAAGCAATTACTTTATAGTATACTCAGAAACTTGTGACCTTGTTTATCCTTACTCAGAATAGAAGTTTGGCTGCTGTTTTTATGCCCTGATAATAGCACTAGCCACCTCCACTCCCGCTATCTACAACTAACATTTCCCAGGCCTAATTCCCTTCACCGCTAGTGCTCTAGGTTTTTTTACTAATGTACATTCTAACTGAAAACACATGACACTGGAGAGATTAAAACCCCTCCAATACATAACCGACGAAACATTTCATAACCTGACTTTTCTCTGGACTATATTCCAATGAGATTTTCATGTGGTGCAGATGTTGAGCTTCACATTGGCATCTATGTTTTGGCATAAACTTGGAGAGAGAAATAAAACGAGCTTGTTTTCTTGGGAAAATCTCGTATCAGCCCTCGGAGAAAGGAATGGGGAACTGTTTCAAGAAAGACATACCTTAATTTTGTTGCAAATCCTTTTCTGCCTTCCAGCCTTCAATATCAATATGTCACACTAAATTATTTCATTAAGTACTTCATCTCCTTTGTAACCTGCTTGTCTTTGAGGACAAACTTTAGAGCAGCCATGTACACATCTGCAATATTTTGACACAAAGGACACCTGCTGACTCTTAACTGGAAAGCGATGTGCATTTTTTTCCTCTTCCCTTCATAAATATATATTGCAATTGCCACTGTTATTAAAAAAATTATCCTTTGGTCCTTAGTGATCTACCAAGCTCTACTCTCCCTTCATTCTTAAGCTGACCTTGCTCTCTCAAAAAGACAAGAAGACAACCTTAAGTGACAACGAGACAAATTTCATTTTGTTGGGAACTGCCTTTTCAATTATTTCTCTCTTCTCAATTTCTCCTTGCTGACCTGGTCCAAGCTGTTACTTTGACAGGGGTCCCTAACCTCCAAATTAAAATATGCAAATTGTTATGCTTCCTGCACTAGGGCCAGTATAGTCTATGCATTGTAATTGCAAAAGATTGTTCTGTTCCATTTTACACCAGAAGAATATAGTTACCTACGTCTGCCATTTCCTATTATGAGAAAAATAATACCCTGCAGACTGATACATTATAAGCAATACATTTATGCATTAGTATATTTCTACTTTGAAAATGAAAGATTATTATTTTTCATGACCCACATTCTGCCACAAGAAAAATATATCCAGGTGTATCCAAATAGTCTCAAAGACTTGTGTATATATTTTAAATGTTTCTGTATTGGGACCTAGTCTAATTTAATCTGAAACATCACTGAATTTTTAAGTACTTAATTTTTATGTAATAGACTTGAAATACAGAACATTTACTGGTCAATTAACTTTTCTTCCTATCTCTCCTCTAGTACATTTTTGGAGATTGGATGCTTTCCCTAGTCACCTGATCAATCCGCACTGTTCCAGGCTGATAAGCACGTCATTTTCAAGATCATCCTACATACTCTTTATCTCTGTGTACACATAGAATATATTCCCATTATTTTTAAAAGTTATCTTTCTCAACCCCATAACAAAATTGACTTTATAAATACTCATTGTGTTCGGCCGGCCGCATGGCTCACATCTGTAGTCCCAACACTTTGGGAGGCTGAAGTGGGTGGATCCCTTGAGGCCAGGAGTTCCTGACCAGCCTACGAATATGGAGAAACCCCGTCTCTACTAAAATTACAAAAATTAGCCGGGTGCAGTGGCACACACCTGTAATCCCAGCTACTCGGGAGGCTGAGGCACGAGAATCACTTGAGCCCAGGAAGCAGAGTTTGCGGTGAGCCAAGATCGCACCACTGCACTCCAGCCTGAGTGACAGAGTGAGATTCTATCTCAAAAAAAAAAACAAAAACAAACAAACAAAAAACACCATTGTGATGATAAATAAACTGAAATGTATGATATTTAGAAATTGCTTAAAGCTTATCTCTGTGCTTCTATCATACTTGCCATGGTTCTCAGAAATTCCGAGTGATCATGAATCATCTGCTGAGCGTCATTATTTCCTCCAGATTCTTTCAGAAGACCTGGGAAGAAAGCCCATTTGGCAATCACTGCATGGGAATCACCTACAGGAGAAAAAGCAATAACAAATAAAACTACTAGAAAATCAAAAGGTTATTTGTTGCTTTGAGATATATTTGATATTTCCTAATTACTTTTTTGTCAAAATTTGATTGTGTTACACTGATTTATGTTAAGTGTTTTATTTCTAAACATTTATTAATTGAAGCAAAACATATGATGTAATAAGAAGAAAGCCACCCTGAATTCAAAATTTTATACAACGTAAATCACAGGTAAAGAGATGAAAGCTGAACTCAATGCTAAGCAACTGAATATCAAATTGTACGTCTGTTGGTAATGAGCAGTGTGGACACCAGGTATGTAAACTACCTGGTCTTTATTTTCCATATAAATTAAATTCCATATTCCAAGTCAGTGAACTTTAGAGCTGAATCAGCTCATGTAGTTAACTCTCTCGTTTTAAACAGGCTACGAGAAGATACATTATTTGACATTAGCAATCACTCGATCATCTACTAAGGCAGGTCTAGACTCTATGTCATTAATTCTTTCCTTTAATGGACACTACGCTAAGGACTGATAGGGTAGGAGAAACCATTTTGAGGCTATGTAAAGATGGTGGGGAGTAGGTGTAGGTGAGAAAATTGATAGTTGACTGTTACTGCAATCCAGGCCATCTGAGAGTGTGCAGAAGTCTCCTCAGTCTTCTCCCTGCTTCAGAGTGCTGTGGAGTTATGGTCTAGTGCCAGTGTGGATTCTTCTCTCTCATTTGATTGGTCTTCCTTTCCTAGAGATTGTAAAAAGCCATCCCTCAATTACCTTGTCAAGTGGTTGTTAGATCTTAACAAAAGGAAACTAAAGCAAAAGGGCCAGGTGTTTTTTATTTTGTCTCCCCAGCAATGTTCTCGAGATGTTTGGATTGGACATGATGTGGCAGATACTCCTGTGTTTCCGCCCTGTGTTGAGAGCATGTGGACATTTGACCATAATACAGGAAGGCAACCAGAAAAGCACTCAGAAGAGGCACAGTCAACCCTCAGTATCCCTGGGGGATTAGATCCAGGATTCCCCACAGATACTGAAATCTGTGGATGCTCAAGTCCCTTATAAAAAATGGCATAGTGGCTGGGTGTGGTGGCTCTTGCCTGTAGTCCCAGCACTTTCGGAGGCCAAGGCGGGCAGATCACCTGAGGTCAGGAGTTCAGGATCAACCTGACCAACATGGTGAAACCCCGTCTCTACTAAAAATACAAAATTAGCCAGGCGTGGTGGCAGGCGCCTGTAATCCCAGCTACTCGGGAGGCTGAGGCAAGAGAATCATTTGAACCCGGGAGGCAGAAGTTGCAGTGAGCCAAGATCATGCTTTGCACTCCAGCCTGGGCTCCATTTCAAAAAAAAAAGCATAGTATTTGCATATAGCTACACACATTCTCCGATATACTTTAAATCACCTCTAGATTACTTATACTACCTAATACAAGGTAAATGCTATTTAAATAGTTGTTATACTGTGTTGTGTTTTTACATGTGTATTTGTTATTGTTGTATTGTTATTTTTATTGTTTTTTTCCTAATATTTTCAATCTGTGGTTGGTTGGATCCATAGATGCAGAACCCATGGATCTGGAGGGCTGACTGTAGTCTGTGTGTGTATGGGTGTGAACATGGATGTGTGCCAAAATCTAAAGTCAGTTTCTGAGGACCTACGTTCTGAACAAGATAAAGGGCAGACATGCTGAAGTTTTAGGTTTTTATTTTTTTCCCTTGTGTGAGTGGTCTAAGGGAAAACTGTAAATTTTTAGAGTCTAAAATAAAAGTGTGGAAGAGAATTTTTCCTGATCTCTTTGAAGAATATCTGTTCTGTAACTGGAAGACACTGATTCTGGGCGTTCTTATCTAATTACTCCTGCTATTCTTCGGGGAATATAAAAAAAGAATAAATTTATCATTACAAAACATACTTTACAAGTAAATGTCTAAGTTATTAAATAGACTCTTCAAAAGAAAGCATTTTTTTCTTCCTAATTCTGTCTTTTCTTTTGCATTAATATATTGGAAGATGTCTCCCTAACACCCTACATCTTTACAAATTAATCAAGTTCTAATTTCTTCTTGTAGGGGTAATACTATAAATGTGATTATAAATACATCATATCTTTAAAAGAAATTCAGGTCACTTCCTTTATCATGTGAAGAACAGTACTTATTGGTAAAGGGGATGTCGAGAGGATAAGATAGTTTTGGAGGAAAACAATTTAGATTTCTGGAATCTTGCTAAGGTTAGCCTGAGATGACCTTGCTAAGGTTATATCCTGAGAAGAATAAATATCACTATTATGATGCAGAAAAATGCTGTCAATACTTTGATATAAACTAAGTCTTACTGTACTTTAATGGCCTTATCTAGTCTATTAGAGAGATATTTTCAGACATTATCATAATCACATGTGAACTTATAAAAGCCTGAGAGTTAGCACAAACTTTTGATGATGGCTTTTTTCATGAGTGAGGCACTGTGACTGTAAGCTCAGGTGTCACTAGAAAGAGGATTCCATCAGTAAAGGAGTAGGAGGGAGAGCATGGAATCTGAGCATTGACAGTCCGGAGGTACACTGCTATTGCAATATTAGGATGGTTAGTTTTGAGTGTCATTCTAAAAATATTTTACCAGTAGTATATATATGTATGTAGTAGGAATTTATATGTGTTAATATTATCATCTCAGAGAATGAAGGCAACAAATTTTTTTAATGCGATTTCACTTTTAGTGTTATACCTGTCAAGAGAGGCTCTATTATTTAATGAACATGCTAAGTTGACATAACTAAGAGACCCCAAAGCACAAGGGTTTTTAATAAGATTGAAGTTTATTTCTCTCTAACACTGGCTGGAGGGGAGTGGTATAGTATTGGAGGATTTCTCGCACGGTGGAAAGAAGGGAAGGGTCCCAAGCTTTGAGGATACACCCTGTCACTTCTGCTCATGACTGGAATCTAGTCACATAGCAGTCCATGCTGTAAGGGAAACTAGGTAATAGAGTTCTTCTCTGAGCAGATATGCTTTCAACTGAAACTGAGAAATTTACTTTTTAAGTCAGGAAAAAAGGAAATTGGTAAACAACTGGCAGTTTCTACCATTTGGCATTCAATTAATTTTTTTAAATTGACAAGAAAAATTGTCTATACTTATGATGTACAACATGATGTTTTGATGTAAGTATATGTGGTAGAATGGCTCAGTCAAGCTACTTAACATAATAAAGTGATATTTATTAAATGAATAAGTGCCATTTGTTTGACATTTGTTTAAAATCCAGAACCATATGGATTCTCAATTGAGTCAGGACAGTTTTCTAAGACAATGTTATATACTTTAGTATATACTTTTAATAAAAATTTGCATTAAGAATCATTGATAAGAGAATGTTATTCACAAATGTTCTTCCCCCCCCATTAACAATAAATAATGAATTTTCTTCTTCCTACATGAGTATTTTATGTTGTATTACAAAATACTGCTATAGTTAAAAAGAAAACAAAATAAACAAATGGAAGTTTGTTAGAAATTATTAAGGTAACTTCATATACTTACCCATTCCAACATATATAGTGAGGAAAATAACCAAATATTGTTACCCATTACTGCCCATGGAGAGTGTCTCCAAGTCTCTTTTATCTTTCCAGGCCAATTGCCTTGTTCTTACTTAGGCCAATTGGCCCATGTTTATTTTCCTGGCAGTTTAAGTAGATTGTCAACTGCTGGCCCTGTACCACATCTCTGTCTATTATTTCAGAATGTGTAGCAAGGCTGAGGAAGCTTAATTATTTCAGAGCAATGGTTGTAATAATTAAATAACAGGCACAACCCATTTTAAGAAGAGTGGCGGTAAGTAATTTCTTTCCCTCCACCAGATCTTGTTTAAATTAGCTATGTTCGTTTTCTAGTTTGTTGGCCAGCCTGAATTGAGAATTCAGTCATTACCTACACATTATGCACCACTCTGCCACAGGCTTTCAAATACACTTATTTATATGCAGCCTTTGGGCTTCCCAAAACTATTTTAAAAGCAAGCTGACCTAGAGATGCTCATGTTTTCTCAAAGGGACTGAAATGTCTGGCTTATAAAGGTAATTTTAAGGGCAACGATTTATTTAAGTTTTGAACTGGAGAGCAACAAAATTGCACATAAGATACTGATATCAAAATTCAAAACAAAGAAAATTTTAGAGAATAATGAAGGCAAGTACAGATAATATAAAAGTAAATCAAATTCTAATCTAAAAATACTCTTTATAATTTCAATTAACTTATTTTTCTAATGCTACATAAACATAAAGCTAAATTATTTATAAATGCTTTTTATGTGTTTTAGCAACATTATTAGTTTCTCATGTTTCAATTTCTCCATGTGGATGCTAAATCCATCCCTTTGAAGTAATTAACATAATCACTAACATTATAAGATCATTTTCCTGACTCCAAATAAATGACCATCAATCTGGTGCCTACTCTCTATATTCAGAAATGCTTAAATAGTTCATGATTAGTCAAATGACTATGGAAAAACACTGTGCATAAGATGAAAGGAATAATGACTCATACCCCCCACAAGGAAGATGAAACTCTTCCACATCAGAATTAATTCACTGTAAAATATCTGAGTATCAGGAAGATAACTGAAAGCACTAAAAATAAAATCAAATGCAGTAGGTAATCGAAAGGTCATG